TTCTCCTTCTTCCTCTGTCTGCTAAACCGCCCCAGCGGCTGACTCCAGGAAGCCCCAGGCAGAGTTGCTCTGCCCCGGGCTTCCTGGAATCAGCCACTGGTCAGTTTCAGCAGCGGCTGAATCTGGACGCCAGTTCCGACTTACATACAGATTCAACTTAAGAACAAACCTACAGTCCCTATCTTGTACGTAACCTGGGGACTGCCTTTACAGGCTAGAAAACCTGTTAGCCTCACTCCAGCACTTCCCCCAGTTCAGTCTTTGTTCCTCAGGAGTCCAAAGAACACCAGATGACATCACTCCCTGCCTTATATAGCTTTTGCATCTGGCGGGAACCGTTTTTTTCAGAGATTGGTTCCCAGATCAGTCTGTGAAAAACACTGACATTTGAAGATGGAGTCTAAAGACATGTGGTCACATCACATGTCTTTGGAGAGTCATAAAAGCTGTTACTGGAGATTGTCTGTAGCATTCTCAGGAAGGTTCCTCAGGTTGGAGATGAGCTTTTTCTCTGGCCTATTGTTCTTCCTAATGGCTCATTGCCCCGATTAGCAAGCCTTCCTCACTCAACTATCTAGAATAAAAGTATCTTGTCTATGGGTGTTCCCCAGGTGCAACTACAGTTTGAAATACACAAATTAGGGATGTAAGTGACTAGTCGGGTAGTTGACTATCCAATAAGCATAGAGTCACAACTGAACTAGTCGCTTCTCCCCCGCTTTGCTGCCTCTATCAGGAGCTGGTGGGGGAGATGGCTTAAAAGCTGTTCCCCCCAGCACCATCTTTGTGGAGGGACAGAAGAGTGAGAGGCTCAGCAGAGGATCAGGCACAAGCCAGGACTCAGCTGTCCCAGCTCATGTCTGGTCCCCCGCTGCAACTCTGCCTTTTAACTGTAGTAAGAGTCACCCGGCTAACCGCACTGTGGCTCACTACCAAGGTAAAAGGGAACCTTCTGCTCTTAAGTGCACAGTGATGGCCTATTATCAATTTGCATTACTTTCATGACTGCCTTGAAGACAAATGGATTATTATAGTTTCTTTGTTTCCACTGCCCTTTCCTGGACTGACATCAACTGTCAAGCACAACACACCTGAGAATATCACGGTGTTTAGTGTGTCCACTGACATTTGGCTGTGATCCCCAGGACAAATGTCTTCCACTCCCTGGCCTACTCCCTGAAGAGCGCATTTCTGTCTCCAAAATGTCAGCATGTCATCCGTGAGAACATTCTGTAGGGCATCACTGCTCCACATGCTCTTCTAGCAAGACATTCAGGTGCTTTTTCCAGTTGCTTCTAGTCAATCACGCTGGCTATATTACATAGAAAACTTGTGTTTCTTTTTTCCTATCCCAGGAGGCGCTCTCATATACATTGGGCCCCTGAGATTGTTGACCTGCTTATTGTTACTAGGGTCGGTGGCACAATATCTTTTGTCACAGGCCTGTCAGACTCTGACTGCACATTCCTGGTGCTGCTCTGTACTAGTTGGCTCCTTCATCCTTGCTGAATCTGACTTATTTCGATACACAGCAGGGAAGACAGCGGTATGTTGATCACATCCTTCCTTTCAGAACATTTTCTTTACCCTTGCAGTACCACTATGATTCAGTTGCTAATACTTCCCTATGGGGGATGGGTCATGTTTTCAAGTCCAAACGAAGATTTTGGCTGTCTAGACTACACATCTCTGTCGACAGAGATGTAGATTAGACATGTCGAAATTTCTAATAAAGCAGGGATTTAAATATCCCGTGCTTCATTAGCATAAACATGGCCACCGCTTTTTTTCGAAACTGAGGTTTTTTTCGAAAAAACTGCAGTCTAGGCGTGGATCTATCAAAAATAAACCCTTTTTGGACAGATCCTGTAAACCTCATTTTTTGAGGAATACAGGATCTGTCCAAAAAGGGTTTATTTTTGACAGATCCGTGTCTGGAGTGTCCGTTTTTTGGTTTTTTTTGAAAAAGCTCCATTTTAAAAAAAAGCAGCAGCTGTGTTTATGCTAATAAAGCACGGGATATTTAAATCCCTGCTTCATTAGCAATTTTGATGTGCTTGATTTGCATCCCTCTGTCGACAGAGGGATGCAGTCTAGACATAGCCATTGTCATTCATAACCCTTGCTGAGAGCTGCAATGCAGGGTACTAAGGGATGGTGAATTGACAGAGGTTCCTGGGTCAGATAAGACACTATCCTAAGGTTTGGCTGTGCACATAAATATTTTGATACATAACTCAGTTTTCACAGTATCTGATACTACATATTGAAATATCAAAGGTGAATAAAATTTATCAGGAAACAGAGATTCCTTTTCTTCAGCTTGCATGTTGAATTAATGTTGCTTTTGCCTGTTAAGCTGAATGCAAGAAGTGTGTTTCCTCAATTGAATACTAGAATTCAGTCATCTTGTGATCTCCCTGTTTATTCCCTTGTATTATTACAACATATATGTTCTCTCTCTCAGCTGTTATAGGTCTTATCTACATGGGGAAATTTAGTGTCGTAATTATACCAATGCCTCATGCCTCCCTCTATGGACACACTTATTACAGAATAGAAATATGCACATGGAGAGTTACACCAGTGTGGCTCTAGTCAGTGGTATCTGTGACAATTTGGGGAGTCTGTCGGTTTCACTTCTGAACAGTGGATAATTGGATTATACTGTATTGTATGTGGATCCACCATGAGTTAGCAGGGCTGTGTGAAGTCCCTTCCAGGCCAAAGAAAATGGCACTCCATGTCATCTATTCAAAATACAAACACCTCGGTATAATGGCTTTGTTGAAGCTGGGAGAGGACACTTGTTCCCCTTGTCTGAAGGGAGGCACATTCGAGAGACGTGGAAAAATACCAAAAGGCTGATAAAAGAAGCAGGTGACCCCAGTAGGAGTCTATAAACCTGTGTCATTGTCTGTAAGAGCGTTCGCCTGCCAATAATGCAAACGTGTCTCATTGGGGTGGAACGCCTCCTGACGTTCAGCAACTCGGCTGTGTCAATGTTGCTAAAAGCTGTGTAGCGTAGAAAGGACCTGAGCCAACAGCAGATATACACCACCACCTTGACCTGAGAACCAATTCTGCAGTCCATTCTCAGCCTTAAAAAGCCACTTAATGCAAGTAATGGGTACTTAAGTGTTATACAATAAAACAATTTAAGATGCAAAAATACCTGTTCAAATCCATTTTCAACAACCGTTAATGTATGTTAAGTAACTCATTTTAAAGATGGCATTATTAGATCTTGACTACCAGTTACACCGTGTCTTTCTAAGTAGACACATTACCCCAAATGCAAATAGGAATACAAGAGTGCTGAAAAAGTACAGTTGAAAAATACAAGGCTAGGTCAAACCCACAGACAGGTAATGAGTGTGGGGGAGCATGTGGGGTCACATGCCTCTCTAGATTATAACTGATGAAGCTGGGTGTTCTCACTCTGTCCCCTCTACCCCACAGTTACAGGTATCTCTGCCCCCCAGATTTAAATAACCCCTAATTTTGAATCAATTAGTCATGGCACAGAAAGAAAGAAAGAAAGAAAGAAAGAAAGAAAGAAAGAAAGAAAGAAAGAAAGAAAGAAAGAAAGAAAGAAAGAAAGAAAGAAAGAAAGAAAATAAAATAAAATAAAATAAAATGTTTTAGCAGAGCATATCCAATAAAATTACTGTTTTTACCTTGATCAAATGGTTTGTTTGGGTTCCAGTTTCTGAAATAATCATCCTAAATGGGAGGAAAAATAGGAAATTTAGAGAAAATGTAAGCAGTCTTTTTCTTTTTTAAAAAACAGTTTTACGAACAATATTGGCCTTCTCATTGCTCCCTGAAAATGAAATAAAAATGATATAGCTAAACCCATTAACATGATACAGCATAAGATACAGCGACCTTTAATAACTCCATTCATCTGAAAAAGTGGGTTATGCCCACGAAAGCTCATGTTACCATCTTCTTTTTTCATTAGTCACTAACGTGTTGCAAGACTATTCATTGTTTTTTTAAGTTGAACACCCCTTAGAAAGTTAAAATTCAGAAAAGTTTTCAGGGTACAGCATGTCACTTCAGTGCTCTCTGCCAAAATTGGTTTTTCAAGTCTGGATTTTAAATCAAGTAAGTTCTGTGATCTCCAGATCATTTTCTAGCACCTCACAATGCCACAGAACAACTGGTGGCAATAATGTAGACCATATGTTGTTAGGAGAATACATTAAGTGCCAAATCAGGAACACATGATTACCCTACGCCAGTGTAAATCCAGAATAATTCCACTGATCTTTGTGCAACTGCTCCAATTTACCATGGTGTAGTACATCACTATTTGACTATAAGCTCTGCCTGGCTCTTACATTGACTGTATCAGTGAGACTCGAAGAGGGTTTTCTATGCCACTCCCTTTGTGCACCCACATATGGGCTAAGAGACTCTGGCCCAAAGCCTGCAAAGACCATAGAGAGTGATGATACCTAGTAGCAGCTTCAGCAATGATGATTATTTATAATTTATTTCATAGGCATCAAAACCATTCTGGGCTTTTTCTTCAAAAAGACAGGATTTGGCACCAAGAATGGAGATTCAGCCTTGCCTTTGAATTCCTTAGCTTTGTTATGTTGAAAATCTTATTTTCAAACAATGTTTTGTAATTGATTCTGCTGTGCTGCTAGATTTACCAAGCATTAATCACTTTTGATTAATGAGATTTTTTTTAAACAGAGTCCTTTCTTCTGGTAGCAGAATATTCTCTTTTTCCTACTTACGGTTTTCTAAGTGTTCATTTTGCTGCTTGTTTTTAAAGTCACAAAAACTGTTTAATAATTCATAGCCCAAGAAAGATTTCTTATTCTGCTGGCATATGGAGGCAGTTCTGTAATCAGGAGTGGAGGATAAACCCGAAGTACAAAATGTGCAGGCACTTGAGAAGGGCTTTAGCTTAACTTCAGTGATACATAAACATTTTACTGAAAACACAACTTGTGCTCAACAAGGTGCAAAATACAGATTTTGTTAAATCTGTGTATAGTCCATCTTCCAGTACTATTTGTCTCTCATTTTTAAAAAAAAAGTAAAATAGAAAGATGAAATATTTGTATTTATTTTAGAATGTTCATGTCAAAATATCAGGAAAATGCCCAACAAAAAATAAGAAAAAACTCTGCAAAAGAGAACAAAATCTTTGAGTTATTTTTGGTATTTTTGTTTTGTTTTGTTTTTAATAAAAGCCCTAATGATTTACAAGAGTAAAGCTTCAGAGAGACAACTGCTCAACTGTGAAGCAAAGCGCTACAAAACAGTTGGACAAAAGAAAAACTTACCACTATGGTTTCAACCCAATGGCACTCACTGAGCAAGGAGCTCGATCAGTAATATTAAGGGTGATTCATGATTCCAATTAATTTCCATGCAGAAGGCCCAGAAAAAAGTTCATGTCACATTTAATTCATACCTGAGATTATGGTTTAAGTGATGCATGGACTTGGTGTTGATTTTTTGCAGATGGTAGAAAATCACCTTAAACTAATTGATAAATGAATTTTGAAGCCATATTTTTACAACTACCAGACACTTAATATTTCTCACAGTAAATGGCTCTTTTAAGCTGCTGCCTTATTGCTGCTCTTACAACAAACTCCATTACACTGGTATAAGGCTATTTAATGTCTCTTGTACAATGGTGGGGAACCTTTTTCTGGGTCGGGGGGCAAAAAGAGGCATCAAACTGTGCAGAAATGTAGGTGATCGTTCTTTGTGGCAAATTGTATCACAGTCTGCCACGGACAATGATAAAATAAAAATGCAACCGGCAATAAGATTGGCTAAAAAATTACTTCTAAATGCAAAATAATGAACCAAAATGAGAGCTGCTGCACAGAAATAGACAGTTATGCAGCTTTTTTAACCAGGATTGCAGTTTGAGGATCAATTTCCGCACCACTGTACAATACCAGTGGAGTCTTTAATGAGATCTATACTTTTCCACAGGGCTAGAAAAGCCTGATCAAGCCCTGCCCTTGATTCTATGCAGCTGTGTAAACCACAGAACTTAAGCTTGCTGTAGGTTTAACAGTGTATTACAGAGTTTGATTATATTTAGGTCTAAACATGCTCTCTGTCGCTGAATGTAATATAGGGCTAATGTGACCACCATCTTCGTCAACACTGGGGGATTAACAGGTGATCTGCAGAAAATGCAATTCTCTATGGCTTGCGTTAAAAAGCTAGACTCTGTACTAAGATTGCCATCCCTCAGGTACAAAAGAACAAAACAACAAGCAGGATATCTGGGATGATCCTGAGTCTGTAAAACTGGACAGTCAGCAGTGTGTGTACAGATTTCGTAAGATAGCTCCTTCAAAAAAAAATCCTTAGAAAACCTGGACAGATGGCAACCGTACGTAGCTGGAACTGTAAGAGAATTGCAGCTCAGCCACAGAGTGAGTTCCAAGAAACACTCACCAGTGGGTGAAACAAAAGACAGGTCTATGCAGCACTTTAAAGACTAACAAGATGGTTTATTAGGTGATGAGCTTTCGTGCTGCAGAGTCCTGTCTTTTGTTTCATCTAGACCAGACTAACACGGCTGCATCTCTATCACTATTCACCAGTGGGTTGCACTTGAATCTTTAGACACATATCTTTGAACTCTTTATTGGGTTTGCTTTTAAATGTATTGCCAGAATAGCACAATTTGCTGCCTGCAGCAATCTTAATGAATAACCTATCGTCTTTTTAAAAAGCCCAAGCTCTAGTACACTTTAAAGAGGAAAATTTAGATGAAAATGAAAAAAAAATGTTGACAGTTTTCACACAGAAGTTCCACATTCAACACAACATGAAATAGTTCAATTGAGTAAATACGGCTATGGTACCTGATGGGAACTGTATTTTGGGTTTCTCCTTTATATGTTGCATTCCCCGGTCTGCAACATAGCCAAATCAAAACATTTCATTTTGTAGCCAAAATATTTTGGATTTTGACAAAACCCCCACATCTTCCATTTTCCAAGATTTGGTTCTTCAGCAACAACAAAAAATGAAAAATTCTCTTTAGTTAAAAATGCACCCAAAAGAAAATACAGTGAACCCTCGCTACTTCGCAGTTCGACCATCGCGGATTCACGACTTCGCGGACTTTTTTCATTACATTATGTATATACGTGAATCCGCGATGGTCGAACCGCGAAGTAGCGAGGGCTCGCTGTATACATGTTAAATATACATGTCCCTACTTCGCGGATTTTCAACTATCGCGGTCGGGTTTGGAACCTATCTACCGCGATAAACGAGGGTTCACTGTATGTCAACAGAATATTCTGGATGAGCCTTAACAGGCAGGCAAGAACTCTGGACAGTATCAACAACAGAGTTAGCTGTCCCAGTGCAGGAGACTCTTCTGCTTTGACATTATGTCCACATTTGAGCTGGGAGGTGTAATTCTGAGCTTGAATAGATGTACCTGCAATAAGTTTACTTCAGCTCGCCCCTAAAAATAGCATTGTGCACCCCTGGAAGCATAGAGGGTGGCTTGGGCGAGCAGCCTGAATACAGTCTGTGTGGTGAGCAAGACACGAGAAGTCATTCTTCTGCTCTACTCTGCGCTGATTAGGCCTCAGTTGGAGTACTGTGTCCAGTTTCGGGCACCACATTTCAAGAAAGATGTGGAGAAATTGGAGAAGGTCCAGAGAAGAGCAACAAGAATGATGAAAGGTCTAGAGAACATGACCTATGAAGGAAGGCTGAAAGCATTGGGCTTGTTTAGTATGGAAAGGAGAAGACTCAGAGGAGACATGATAGCAGTTTTCAGGTATCTGAAAGAGTTTCTTCCTGGCCTCTGAGGATAGAACAAGAAGCAATGGGCTTAAACTGCAGCAAGGGAGGTTTAGGTTGGACATTAGGAAAAAGTTCCTAACTGTCAGGGTGGTTGAACACTGGAATGGATTGCCTAGAGAGGTTGTGGAATCTCCATCTCTACAGATATTTAAGAGTAGTTTGGATGGATGTCTATCAGGGATGATCTAGACAGTACTGGGTCCTGCCATGAGGGCAGGGGAATGGACTCGGTAACCTCTCGAGGTCCCTTCCAGTCCTAGTATACTATGATACCTAGGTGGTCGAGTGGAACTGTTCTTGCAGCATGTAGCTACCAGTATTGCAAGGTCTACATGGCTATTTTTAGACACTAGTTCGTGCAGAGCTAGTGCAGGCATGCCTAAGCAAGCTTGCCACCACACCTTCCAACTCAAATGTAGACGTACTCTCAACATGAAGTGGGACCAGAGATGGAGGATGTGTCCATTTCACTCTTAAGGGATCCCAGCTCTCACGCCTACATCTATTCCCCTAGGATTGCTGGAGACAAACCGGTGGGATATCCATAATACTGCCAGGGACTGCCCCTGAAACAAAGGGCCCTCCTTTTCCATTACCTTCCTTCTGTTCCTGTCTCTACTTCTGGCTCCACTTTCCCAAATGCACATACGCTCAGGGCCGGATTAAGCGGGGGGCTAGCCGGGCATTTGCCCGGGGCACCAACCTATGGGGGGCACCTTATGGCAGCTGTAAGGGGCGCCACATGCCCAATTGCAGCTGTAAGGTGCGCAGCGCGCCAGGTGGTGGGTCAGTGCATTTGCTGTGCACCTGGGGGCGGAGCCACGCTGCCCAGGGCGCAGGAATGGCTCGAGCTGGCCCTGCATACCCTTAGACTTCCACATGGAAATGTATCCTGCCTG